AAATTTCTAATCAAAGCAAATTATGAGAGGAATCTTTTAAAGCTAATCGAAAAGCTTTCCAAATTGGAATTATATATACGAGATATTCGAGAAATATGCACCCAATTAAACTTTTTCGAGGGGGGAGATTAAGAGGGAGAAGACTCTTTGGTTAATTAAACACGAATTAAGCAGGATACTGTCTGGCCAGGTCTCGATCTTGAGGAAGATCGGCGCCAGCACGTTCTCGACTATGGACAGTATGTAGTATTCCGGTTTGTCGTTCACAGTGCCGAACAATATCTCGTTCCTGAACGTTTCTGCGCGCAGCACCTGCCGTGGCTGCCTGATGAAGTAGGTGAACTCGGTGACAAGGATCAGGGGGAAGGAGAGGGAGACGATCAGCCTGTTGTGGGAGAAGAACATGCACATGGTGGTGAAGGTCGGGTTCAGGAAGAATTCACGGATCGTCATTTCGCTGAAGTAGGTCCAGTGACTGTCCTTCAAGCCGGACAACGTCGTCATGTCTTTCACGATGTTTATCTTGAGGGAGGAAAGGGATCGAAGAAGGTTTTTTTTTTTTTTTTTTCTACAGATACATCATAGTGTATCGAGCAATGATTTTTGCGAATACGTTTGAAAAATGCATTTTTAGATTCGTTCGTTTACGATTTAATTTATTCTTACACACAGAAGGAGAACAGAAGGGATGTTCGTTTATAATTATAATTCGGATTTATTTTTTTTTTTTTGGATTATTGTCTATACTTATCCATCGTCGTTTATCTATCTTCTTCATCCTAATCATCCTCTTCCTGTTCCTCTTCCTCCTCATCGTCATCATCATCATTATCCTCATAATTTTCACCATTCTCATCATCTTCATCATCACCTTCCCCATCCACACGATCTTCGTCATCACCGCCCTCAACATCATCATTTTTTCTCATAATTCATACTAATAATATCCCCCTATATTTCTCATCCTCATTCATAATCATCATCATCATCCTATCACCCAATCGTGTGATAGAATACTTTACTACTTATTCTACAAGACGAGAGTCGAACCACTAACCAGCTCCATCAATTCCTCGTCATCGAAAACCGGTCTAAGCTCCTCTTCGACCACCTCTTCGTATCCTGCAACAGAAACATATATTCCATTGATTGATTCGATCCAAAGACAAGGAATATCAAAATTGTAAACAACTACGATCCATGATCGCGCTTTGAATCAATCACTCCTTCCTTCCCTAAAATTAGACCTCGAAAGAATTCAAACGAATTCCATCCTTCAGATCCCTTCTAAATCCAACCACGTGGTGGTTTTTAAATCGTTTCTAAGAGATCTCCTCTCTTCGCAATCTAACAGCAACGATAAATCGATCGGCTAGGAACCGAAACGGCGGAAGAGGAAACACGCGGGGGGACACGTTGCTGTAATTTATCGGTCTATGATAGGGAGCATTATGTAGATAGTAACGATGCATCCTCTCTTTTCCAGGGAGGAAACATCGGCCAAGGGACTTATTATCGTCACGTAGCCATGGTTCTTCATGGTTTACATTGTCACATTTGCACATCTCTTATTTCTGAGATTTATAACAGAGGAGCTATTCTTTTCTTCTTGGTGAACCACTTGTAATTGTTGTCAATGAAAACTTTGCTTTTGTTGAAATGGAAGGATTGTTAGTAAGGGTTTGGCTTTTGGATTTTGGAGCGGATCTTTGTTTCTTGGTTTCGAATTTTAGATTCGATGTAATACGTATATGGATCTTTGGATTAATTCAGAATCTTTCTTTGGAATACTCGAATAGAAAAAGTTCCTATAGGAAATTAAAATTTTTTCCTCCGCAATTATATCAATTAGCACGAAAATCGTATTATTATTGTCATCGTGTATAAAACAGGGACAGATTTTGTGTCGCTTAACGATGTGTTTTGCCGGAGATTTACAAAACGTTTTTATCAATTTGTTGTTGGAACGGAAAAGCTGGAATACGGGTTTTTCCATCCCCGTTTGGAAGTGAAAATTTGTTGTTCGCGGCTGCTCGACATCATAAAACTCGCCTTTATGATAGTCTATGTCTTAACATAAGCTGTTGCTTCAGGGAACATTTCTTCTAATTTATCGTCCCTTTCGAACAACTTCCTCGCTCCATCTTTCTTAGATTTTTATTCTAATCATACATCCTCCTCTTTTCGCGCCCAATTTCAACTTTTTAAGATTTCAAATCGAACTGGAGGAACCAAATAATTGGAAAACTCGTTGTAACATTCGTGCATCAATCCGAATATAATATCTCTTCATCAAATCCTCCTCCACATGTTGCGAGCATCAACACGAAAATACGAATCGCAAACAGATTAGGGGATTAGACGAATCAACTAGCCACTTCGACAAGCTAGATTCTACCCCTCCCCTCCCCTGTTTCATTCTCGTTCCACTTCATACACTTCGATTCAATC